GGAGGGGCTGTCGGGGGTGGGGAGTGGTTGGTTGGGGCGTGGGAGTCCCAGGGGTCTGTCTGGGGGTGGGGATGTGGATAAGGGTTGGGGCAGTGAGGGTACAGGTAGGGGGTAGGGTCCTAGGGGGCAAGTTAGGATGGGGGGAGGGTCTCAGGAGGGGGCTGTCAGGTGACAAGAGGCAGGGAGGCTTAGGTAGGGGGTGAGTCCTGGGGGGCAGTTAGGGGCAGGGGTCCCAGGAGGGGGCAGTCAGGGGACAAGGAGCGGGGGAAGAGTTGCGGGTTCTGAGGGGGGCGGGAAGTGGGAGGGAGTGGAAGGGGCAGGGGCGAGGCTAGGGCAGGATGGGGGCAGGGTAGGGCGGGGCTCCTCCCGTCTTCTTTTTTGCTTGCTGAAATATGGTAAACCTAGTGTTGTTATTAATCTGATGTTGTATTTTCTCCAAAGCAGAGGGTTTCCATGCCACTTTTTCAACTGTTATTTCAAGCTAATGTTTGCTGCAATTCTAACCCTATAACTAATAAAATCCTACTCAAACACCTTGATATATAGGACCACAGTTATATTTAAAAACAAATTAAAACGCAGCAACACAATGGTACATCCAGCTTTCCCCATCTGATTACCACACCACACTTCCGTGAAGTGCAGCAGCTATTACCAAATGATATTCTTATCAACTCTTTGATTTGTAATGTTACTACTGCAGCCAGTTAGCAACAAGATGCTTGGCAAATGGAAATATTCAAACTTATACTATATTACTCTGCCCTGACATATATAAGAGTTGTTTGTATTGATACAGAAATATACTCATCATATATTCCTCTATGCCAATTTTAAATATACATTTCCATTTATAAGACAATTCTGTATTTTCAACATTGTTGCTACATTTATCTTTATATTTCTACTAAAGCATTTGAAAAAGTAAACTTTACTATACTGCTCTCATATTCCTTTTGCTTTACTGGTAGCCAATAAAGCAAAAGAAAGTTTGTGAAGAATAGGAGAAAAAGGTTTTCCTCTTTGGCATTTGTGATCTCTCATTAAGGAAAACATGCTCAAGTAAGAAACAGTATATAAAAAGCTGCAACTTCTTAGCGATTTGGATAAGAAAATGTGTCCCTTGCTATAATCAAAATAAAGCACTCGAGTGGAAATGCAATGTGTTGGATTTATAGACTGGGACAGTTTTAGTTACAAACAGCTCTATTCCTTATCTTCATTTCACCTCAACATTGGAGAGATTGCAAATAATTATATTCTCGCTTCAGAGGGCAGAGCATGGTCAGAATAGCAAACAGCCGTCTAGTCCTAGCTTTTTACACAGAGATTGCTTTCACTGCTCAAGCCACATGAACTAATGAATTAAAATCTAGAAAGAGCTTTTCTTTTTTAAAATTCAAGTGCATAATGGTAGCCAAAGTTCCAATCAGATGTCAGCATCTTTGCAAATTAATCTTTGCAAACCCCAACAACATCCCTGCATCCATGATTTATGCTGAAGAATTAACTCTCGGAGGGCTAGTTTAGTGGGATGGCAGCAGAGCTGGGACATGTGCTGCAGCAGAAGGGTCTTTACTTTGGGAAATACTTAGGAGGACTGCCACTCTTAGGCCAGGTCTACACTACACACTTATTTCGGTATAACTATGTTGCTCGGGGGTGTGAAAAATCCACACCCCATGCACAATGTAGTTATACCAACTAAGGGCACGTCTTCACTACCCGCCGGATCGGCGGGTAGCAATCGATCTATTAGGGATCGACTTATCGCGTTTACTGAAGACGCGATAAAATCGATCCCCGATGGCTCTGCTGTCGACTCCGGAAATCCACTGCGGCAACAGGCGGAAGCGGAGTCGACGGCGGGGCGGCAGTGGTCGACTCGCCGCCGTCCTCACAGCCAGGTAAGTCGACCTAAAATACACAACTTCAGCTACGCTATTCACGTAGCTGAAGTTGCGTATCTTAGGTCGACCCCACCCCATAGTGTAGACCTAGTCATAGTCCCAGTATAGACAGCACTATATCAGTGGGAGAACTCCTGGTGACATAGCTACTGGCTCTGAGGGAGCGCTCCCATCAGCGTAGGAGCGTCTTCTCTGAAACACGAGAGTGGCACAGCTGCACCAATGCAGTGTTTTAAGTGTAGACCTGCCTTCAGAGGGATGTGGTTAGGGGTAAGAGAATCACAAATGCTAGTCACACAAATGCCAGTGGATTCATACAGTAAGATTGACATCAAACTTGGACAAGGCTGTTTGACAGTCCTCCTGTCTGGAAGAGGATTGCTGCAATCACACCTTCAGAATAGAGGGGAGAGAAACTAAATTCCACAAGCCTCTATTTAGACTGGCCATTAGCAGCTTAGGGTACGTCTAGGGTAGCAATCGATTTATCCGGGATCGATATATCGCGTCTCGTTAAGACGCGATATATCGATGCCCGAACGCGCTCACCGTCAACTCCGGAACTCCACCAGAGCGAGCGGCGGTAGCACAGTCGACGGGGGAGCCGCGTCCGTCGATCCCGCGCCGTGTGGACCCCAGATAATTCGATCCAAGATACTTCGACTTCAGCTACGCTATTCGCGTAGCTGAAGTTGCGTATCTTGGCTCGATCCCCCCCCCACAGTGTAGACCAGCCCTCAGATGTGGACTTTAGGGAAATATGCAGCACTGACAGAGGAGGCACTGCTCACAAAAAAACAAACCCCACAACAAATTTAACTTGGTAAATTAAGAACTTGGCTTTTCTCTATCTTCACTAAGCACATGAATGGTGTTCAAAGGGCCTCTAAAACTTTTTCATGCAAAAATTGGTGCAGAGCCCAAGATATCAATCTACTTGAGAGTGCAACTGTCCCTGCTGTCTCTGTAAAGATATTTTCTTTTACTTATTCTTAAAAGGCGTATTTTCAGAAAAGATGGGTTTTTAATTAAAAAAAAAGCCAACAAAAGGAACCATTTATAGTAGAAATCTCTATTCTGCTTTGAAGTATTCAATTCAAATAAGTGCCTGTTAAAAATACACTTTCTAACACAATGTACTATACAGTGCATTTCAAAGAGAGCCAACAAAACTTACACAAAAAACTATGTGAAATCATGAAAAACTTAATTAATCTGTTAAAGAATAAACATTTTACAAAAATCCATCTTCTTTGCTTCGAAGAGAAAAGCATGTTAACCCTTTGTCCCACTTGTGCCATGGACTGCTCAAAAACACTCATGGAAATCTATGACAACACAGAGCCAGCCCTCTCCTCCCCCACCAAATTCTCCAGTCCCTCTGCAGGCCAACCTCTTCACTCCCTGCTGCTGAAGGAATACAGCTTCCTTCCTCGCTAGGTTAGCTGATCTACAGCTGCCACTCTTCTTTGGACATCCATAACTCCGGCTACTAACTCTACCCCATCTACTTACCTCCTCCGATTGCTCCAGCTTTTTCACCCACCTGATCCAGCCTACCTCTCTAGCTCTGGCACCGGCACTACTCACCTATCTGCAAGTAATAGCCTCCTTTTCATTCTTAAAAAAAATCAGGAGGGGTTAAATTCAATAGTGATTTGCACCGCTAAAAATGATAGAATTTATTTTTAAAAACTCTGTTCAGTGGCAGTGTAAAATCAAAGAGCAAAGAAGGGTGCTGAAATCTTCAGTCTGAAGAAGAGGAGCTTTCCTGAATCACCGGAAAAATAAAAAAATGGCCAATCACACTTCAGAGACGCAGACAAATTTATTATTCCAGTATCAAGTCAGTCCAAAGAGGAACCAAAAACTACACGAGAGCTTTTCTTTTATCGCAAAGACAAGCTAGACAGTCATTGCTTTGTCAGTCTACCAAAGCAGATGTAATAAAAGGAACTTCAGGTAATGAGTAAGAAAAATAAGCCTGTAAACAACAATACCCACTTTCCTCTATGGTACTAGCATGGCCTTTTTAATCACCATATCTGAGCACCTCACAATCTTTAATTATTTATTTTTCACAATAGCCCCAATTTTCACACAAGGAGCTGAGGCACATAGAGACTAATGATGACGTGGGCTGTAGCCCACGAAAGCTTATGCTCAAATAAATTTGTTAGTCTCTAAGGTGCCACAAGTTCTCCTGTTCTTTTTATAGAGACTAAGTGACTTGTCCAAGGTCACACAGTATGTCTGTGTCAGAGAGCAGGAAATTAACCTTGGATCTCCCGAGTCCCAGGCTAGAGTCCTAACCAGTGGACCATCCTTCTTCAATTAACAGACTCTCTTTTTTTGGTTTTCACTCTCACCCCATCCCATCTCAGTTTGGTAGAAATGTCCTTAGCTTATTCACTTCCCTGTGTGGGGAGTGAGTCTACTGTCCAGAGCAGAAGACTAGGAGTGATTACTACAGAACTGGGATCCAAAGTCCTTACTCAGGCAAAACTCCCATTGAATTTAGTGTTCAACCAGCGCCTGGCTGCCACTCTGTTCTTGAGACATCCAGAAAGTTGAGTTAAGTTCAATGAGAATTTGACAAGAATGATTTGGTATTTGTATATATTTTCAGCTTTGAGCCATCTCAATATGTGAATATGAGCAAGTCATGTAAGCAGCTGTAAAATTAGGATAATACTACTTACCTGCCCCACCAGGGGATTTACGAGGCTTATTTAATGTTTCTAAAGTACTTTAAAGGCCTCACAGGAAAGGTGCATAGAATACGAATTATTTTGATCACTATTATCTAATATGGTAAGAGAGGCTATTGTCCCTTAGGAAGCTTGCAGCTCAAACAGGAAAATGACAGAAACTATCACAAATGGTATCAGCTGATCCCATAAACATGTATTGCTAGTGTGTAATTATGACCCACAGTTTAATAATATGGTATTATTACCTTTTTCCTTTTGTGAAAATCATTCCATCTCTACCACACATACACCATGTGATAATTACAAACACTCATGTGCTACATCACAACCCACCAATTATTGCTGTACATCTGTAACGCCGAAGGAGATCTCATACCTGATTCTCATCCTGCACCTCCATGCTGTACTGGGGCCCCGGCTGTACCTCTGTGACTTTCTCGCCAAGGAGGAAGCCCAGGCGAGTCATGAGTGTGTTTGCTGCCTCATCTACGGAGGGAGGGGGTCCCAGCTCCTGCTCAGCTTCACCTGAACAACAAGAAAAACATAATTTACGATGGAAACTGTTTAACTTTACTATTGTTCACCCGCTGGTTTAATGGTATAGCCAACTTTTCACACAGCAACTCCACTGGACAGGTTTTCAGGTCACACAAATCTTCTCTGTCTCACTCAACACTATTTGCTGGACATTTATTGGTTTAAATGGTCACTCTGCATTTCTTTTAATACTAACCTTTATTCCTTCTCTCTCTGCTTATTCTCAACACCTCATTTTGGGCAAGATGCAGACAGTCATCCCTTTCCCCCGAAGTTCATGACAAAGTCCTCTAGGCTCAACCAAGAGATGGGACTTTGCTAAAATGCAATCCTGAAACCATGCTCCTCTCTCGGGGTACGTCTACACTTACTTCCTGGTTCGGCGGCAGGCAATCGATCTTCTGGGATCGATTTATCGCGTCTTGTCTAGACGCGATAAATAGATCCCGGATCGATCCCGGAAGTGCTCGCCGTCGACGCCGGTAGTCCAGCTCGGCGAGAGGAGTACGCGGCATCGACGGGTGAGCCTGCCTGCTGCGTCTGGACCCGCGGTAAGTTCGGACTAAGGTACTTCGAATTCAGCTACGTTATTAACGTAGCTGAATTTGCGTACCTTAGTCCGAAGTGGAGGGTTAGTGTGCACCAGGCCTGAACCAAATGAATCACCTCTATGTCACCATTTGCAGAGAACTCATGACTGTATGTGAATTGTTTGATGTTCTGTTAGCAATGCACTCAAGTGGCATTCATACCAGTAGGCCCACAGTTTTAAGCAGCTGAAATTCATTATTTCATAACATGAAGGGACTTGTTTAAAGACTGATCTATTGTTCATTAGGAAAGGTAGAGTAAGATAATAGTCCCATTTTCAGCCTGTCCCAGGGCCAGACAAGGCAGTTCAATTCACATATGTTCGTAGTCCAAAACTCACAATTCGAGTGCACTCCTACAGCCCTTTGGTAAATTAACCAAAGTCTTTCATACTCTCAAAAAGCTTTAAAAGCAGAGGGTTTTTTTAAAATCTACTGAGAGATCCAACAACTTTCGTGCAGCCGTTCTACAAAAAAATAAACTGAGAAGGATTTTTGTCACACCTGCTATCTCTGGGAAAATATTGCACAAGAAGCCATAATAGTTCCTAGGATGATATTATGATCTATCAAGTCAAATACTCATTTTTTGTTTTTTTAGAATTTCCAATTATGAATTTACTCATGAAATGCACAGTCTTGGAATGTGTGCTGTCTGCTAGGTAAAATACATTTAAACTCTCAATATCTATTTGCAGCATAGACTATAGTGATTTTGAAGGCTCAAACTGACAAAAAACTAAGATTCAGAAAGTTGAAACTTCACTCCACACGTTCTGTTGTGCCAAGGAATATATATGGCACATAGAATCCCCTAATATTTCAAAGCAGCATGAACACTTGTACCCAACCGTGTAGATTAAGCTAGAGGTTCAAATTTTAATCTGAATCTATGGACTTTTGTCAGTTTCATTCAGACCCTTATTGTAATTCTGACATAGTAGGTTGTGTGCTTCAGGTCAGATATTAGAGCCATGCTGGTCAGTCCAGCATGATGAGAGAAAGGAATACTGTCCAGTGATTCCTTTGAAACAGGGATCAAGCCACTCAAAGTTGGAAAGAACAATATATGCAACCATCATCTGCCAGCCTTCATTTGTTGTTGATCTGTATACCGTCAGAGGAAACGCACTCTAATCCACAAGACCATGCCTTTTTGTACAGTTGTTGCATGGACAGCAAAGTCCGGATCCCAGAGCAAGTGCTGATGTACACAGGCTTCCAGGTGATCACCAGCAGTTGAGGACCCATGTTAGTGAAACCTGCTCAGTGCAGGTCTACATGACATGGCAGTAAAACACTCAGCCACTGGCACCTTAGCTGCACTAGTGCTCCCACCATTACTACCATCAGTAGAATTGAACTGGAGTTAATGTAGGTGGGAAATTTTTCCTAGGAAATGCTAAAGTAATCAAAGCCATAAGGAGAAGAGAATAAGTGCTGGAAAGGAAAATGTTCAGCATGTTGACTATAAGCTATAGGTGTGTCTATATATGTTTATGCATATTTTTTAAAACCTAATATCTAACTAACTATACTGTGTTTCTAAAAATACTCAGCATCTGTCTCTTTTTAGGACAGAAACATGGTGCAAAATAACAGGCATATTTCAATTTCAGGCTGAGACTTGAAAAGTATCATCTTAATTAGAAAAAAAAACTTCAAAGAAACATCAGGAAATGCAGAGCTATATGGAAGACAGGAGAAAGGACATAGTGCTGGGGTAAACGTAGGCTCCATTAAAATTCCGAACATTGAAAACAGACACTGAATTATCCTGACCATGGGGCTGTTCTATACAGAGGAGCAGACATAAAGCTGAAAGAGAGAGAGAGAGAACCCAAAAAGTAAGAGTTAAAAGAGGGGCAAGAAGTCTGGGTCCTGGCTCTAACTTGAGTTAAGATCACCTCATGGCCAGGTTATTACTTAGTTTAAATTAGTTAGCATATTTACGATGTTGGTTGATAATGTGTATTAGGTTAGTACTGCATTTATAGTGAGAATTACAATGTGCTTCTACTCTGGAAAGTGATAATAAAAAAGCATCATTGGTTTCTGTGTTTATTGCCTCTCCAACTCTACAGATACAGGGCTCTCAATGAGAGTAAAAATGGTTTTTTTCCCCCCTGATCACCAGTGTCCCAAAGGTAATCCAGGACCTGAAAATGAAGTTCTTCCCTGTTCAGATCAACATCAGTAACAAAGATCCTGCAGGCCAAGTTCTACACCTGTGCAACTTGAGTTCCAAGGAGTTGCAGAGAAGGAACTAAGGGCAAAACCTGGGCCTGCGATTACAACGTAGGCAATTATTTTTGGGATAATGTTCAATCCAGAATAAAAGCCAACTCCGTTTCCCAAGGCTGTTCTAGCGCTGCAATGCTAGTGGCAGTAAAACCTTATCCTAGTCGGAACAGTCAGCAGACATGACTGATATACAACAAAAAGATCTGTTGAGTAAGATGGTGGCATTTTTACAGTCACTTTTCTGAATAGAACCCCATTTTAAAGCTCATTTACTTTTTTAGATCTACTTTTTTTTCCTTGGATGAAATGTATCTTACTCTACATCTTATCTTTCCGTTCTTGAATACAGATGTCAACAGTCCCAAAAGGTGCTGGAGAACTTAGTATACAGTTAGGGTAGAGGGAGGTTGGTTTTTTACATGTCACTCATAACTATTGCTGAAAGGTACAATTCAGTTGAAACTGTAACCTTGCATGAGAGCTCAATAAAAAGATTAGTCTGCTGCTCCTAGGGACCCCAGTTCAAGGTCATAATTTCAATTCCCAGAAGCATAAAACAACTTTTCATTGTCTCGATCATACTAATGCAGATTAAAAGAGCTTTTAAAAGGATATAGATAATGTTGATTAATGAGGATGATTAAACAAATACTTAGTGGGGAGTGTACCTTAGTTCACAGATGCAGCATCTCATACACAACATAGACTCCACATTCATAATAACCAGCAACATTGTGAAAAATGCGCCCTGAATTGTCTTACATGGAGACTTCGCTGCTATGAAAATGAATGAATTCTTCACCCAGAGACCTCGCTTTCAGTCATCAAGGTGAAAATACTATCATATCCTTCGTGAGAATGGAGGGCTGTGTCTGAAGCAGAACCAGTGTGATTCTGCTGTATGGGAGACTGCCTGCAGAGGGAGTGAACCCAGCTCTGTGTGTGGGTAGAGGTTCTATATGTGTCACAGTCCAGTGGGGATCTGGAGGCAAGGCAAGCCTGTGGAGGATCCCCTGCTAAAGCCCCTGAAGAACTTCCCACCACACAGCCTAGTTACTCAGGCCCTGCCTTCACTGAGAAAAAAGGTATATTTTTTTTAACCTTGGGGGTAACGAACACATGACCTGTGAGTTATCCTGAAGTAAAAACACAGTGAAAACCAGGCACTTTAGTTTTACCACAAGGTAAACTCACTGAGGTCGACCTCTGGAGGAGGTATAGGATTGCTTACCTCAACAGTAAAACTAAAGTGCATGGTCTTCATTGTGCTTTCACCTCAGACAGGTCATGCATGTTAGTTACCCGAGGTAGAAAATGCACCTCTTTTAGCAGTGAAGACAAGTCACCGGACTATGTGCTGTACTGGAGACTGGTTTTGGGTCTAAAAGTGCAAACGAAGGGACAGACTGCATGACAACCTCAGTTAATTTCATGCATTGCAGTGGTGCATGGAGAGAGAAGCAGTTTTGTCAGTAGCCAGGTCCAAACTATAAAGCTCTGTAAAGATCAAACCAGTGCCTTGAATTACACTTGAAAGCAGAGGGGAACCCAATGCAGTTTGCCGAGCACAGGTGTAATGTTTTCATACCAATCCACTCCACTAGGCAAACAGACTGCTGCATTCTGGACTATCTGAATGAAACAGGATTGAAATACATCAGGCTGAAATTATGATTAGCTAGTTTCAGCAGTACTTCCAGAGTACACTGGGTACTTTGTAGAGTTTGTGGCAGAACAGCTGGTTTCATCTGTCTCAAAGTAGAAACTGCTCTCTAAACAGTCAGAGCTTGATCATTTGAGTCTGTAGGGTTAAACTAGCACACACTCTTCTGTTCTATATTAACCTTAGGAAGCCTGCAAGTGGTATAAAACTGTCATTTACCTCTCAAATAAACAAACTGATGAGCTTATTCTAAGTCAGAGCACCTTGAAATGGCTGGATGTTGTCTCATTATATGGAGGAGAACAGATGTCTGCACAGTGATTACAACTCTAATTCACTTGAAAAGTTCTGCGGACGTCACAAAACACGAAAAAGCACAATTCAAACAATTTATAAATGCCAGCCAAGTCCTGAGCGTGTCAAACTTACCATAGAGTCACCAAGTGTTATTTTATTATAACTTTCAAAGTACAAAAAACTTGGAACTCAAG